CAGGTGAACTGACTGTAGCTCTTGAAGATTACTTTTTGTCAGCCAGAGTCATAACACACATCATCTCTGTCGCTATCTAAACAGTAGAGCCATGTAGCCTAGATGAGATCTGCAGTTACAGACCTGGCATCCACAATTAGAATTGTAGCTCTATTGCTACCTTCCAGCACAAAGTCATTAATGTCTTCTTAATTTCCCACTAAAATGCTCAAACTGGAATCATGGAGAAGAGCTCTACAATGGTTGTCAGTGCTTGTACATTCTACGACTGCACCATTTTGGGTTTTTTTCTTCAGAAGACAGTCCCAGGTCACTTAATTGTTTCTCAATCCTTTAGGCCTCCAACTTACCTCTAATCCCAATTTTAGATGAAAAGCATCCCCATTAAACACAGTGCAAAACAAAACAAATGCACATCATGTTACTTCAATTAGCTATCATTAGCTGTATCATATTTTATCATCTGACCAAGACACGTTATATTCAAGAAAACTCAAGATAAAAACAGTATTGCCACGAGTTCTGTTGCCAAGACTGCTTGTAAGAAGAAAACAGCTTACCAAGAGAGAAGACAGTTTCTGCACAACCCAGAGGTTGTATTAATGGGTTACTTGCTTCACTGGCAGCAAACAAATTGATCTGGGACCTTAGACATCACTTATTCTTATGACCTCTTGTGAATGTTGAGCACACATTTGAGGGCAATTCTGCCCAGAAAGAGGCTTAATGGCTACATCTCTGATGGGCATCTGAGGTTTACCTCAACACTTGCCAAGGGTCTGGAAAATACAAGAGAAGCTGTGTGATGAGAGACTCCATCAAGCCACAGAGCTGACTTCCTCACCTCCTCCTGGCCAAGCTGGCCAGCCACAGCAGCATGAGGAAGAAACCAGACTGGAGTGACATGAAACCACAGACAGCATTCCTCTCCCGTTGTCCTGGCACGTCTCTGGGGAAAACACTGCTGGGCAGTGTCACCTGGCCACTCCAGTGCCTTCGGGTATTGAGTCCCATTGGGTAACACCTATTTGCTACGTGTATTGTTTCATTTTTCTGCAGAATGACAGTTTCAGTGTGACAACTGTAAAATCATCTCCCTCAGAGAAGAGACTCTAAATTGTCTGCGAGTACTCCAAAGCAGATCTAAATAACAAAATGCAGTGTGCCAGAACTCCTGACCAACATTAGTGAGGTCCTGCCAAACTCAGCAACACTCAAACACAGCGTGCAGCCGACAGATAGCAAAGGATACTCGTTATACAGAAGACAGGTATCATTAATTCCTGTTGAGATCCCATTCCCTAACGGAACCTCTACACCACCAAGGGTGGTAGTGGCTGTGGGATCAGGAGCGGTTTTGCCCAAGCCTAGAAAGGGAAAAAACATTAGTTACAAATGTTTTGTAAGAAGGCAAACACAGACTTCGCACATACAGAAAACGACTCAGCCAGCCAAACATGACTTCATATATATTTTCAAACACTGACCAAGTGCAAAAGTCTTCTTAAAAGGAACACAAAGGATATAGTCTCTTTATTCAATTCAGCATCACCATGCTTATGGTACTCGTACTCAGCTACATTAAAAGTGAGAATTTTAGACTTTTGGCTGTTAATTGTCTAATCTGATTGATCAAAGCTAAAGTAAGCCAGACTTACAGCTCTCATATCCTACATCCATTAATGAAAACATGCACATTGCAGCACTTTCAGAAGTATAACAAACCAATTCTTATTCTCTCTAAACTCTTTAATACAAATATGATTTGACATCCACAACAGTATGAGTAGTATGTACTCAAAAAGATGCTAAATCACTTTTTATTCTATTTTAGGCAACTGAGTTTTTAAGCCTCTTAAAACGAATAGTTTAAAAAAAGCCACTCATTACTGAATGTTACTCTTCTGTGCTCTCCCATCTCAGTACAGGAGATAGTCAGGATTACCATTTCTTTTGCTTGAAATAGAGAGCTAAGTCTTTTCTCTCATCTTTTTCTTTTTTTCAGTTCAATATACTGATACTTTTTGCAGATAGAAATGTAATGAGAACAGCTGTTCCATCTGAACTTTTCTTCTTAGATTTTTCCCTTCTCTCCAGGCTTCTAAGGCACTTGTAAAGCTAAACAATTATTCTTCTGATCTATTAAACCTCTCATCTTTCTTCTAAAATACACAGTATTGTTATGATGAAAGCAAGCAGTTGGAGAACGCACCTTACATGTTCTCTTGTGTAATATCAAATGAAAGTTTCCTCCTGAACTTCAGGCAACAAAATAACTTCAGTCTAAACATTCCAAGCGTACTAACTCCCATCTCAAAACACAACATACACACATACAGATGCAATTATAGGGCAACATTATGTAAACTCTTAAAGGAAGTATAACTAGGAAATTACTCTAGTTCTCTCCGCTAAGCAGAGAGCCACATGTGAGTTTGCCATCAATAACAGACTACCAGTGACAACCACTAACGCTTACCTTTCACACTGTGTTTTCCCTTGGGCAATTTCGTTATGTGAGAAGCATTCTTTAGCTCGTACCTGGACAACACAAAGAACACACAATAGCATTTTATATTCATTTAAAACTATCTTGGTGATTTATTTTTTTTTTTTAAGCTTCACCTTATGGTGAGTTAATGTAAAGTTAATTTAGATTCTATTCTTCTGGGACTTAACAGCCTTACTTCTTTGTTTCAGTTATCAATTTTAATGATATTACCATTTAGTATAGACCTGCAACACTGCTTTTTTTTCCCCACCAAATAGCTCTCATTTTAAGAAAAAAAGAAATCTTGTCTCTAAAGAAATTCAAAGCGCTCTTTTCTTCCACACTGAAGAAAAGACTTGCAATTTTAGCATCACCTTCTATGATAATTAAGAATGTCCAGCAAGTACTCTTCATAAGTTACTTACATATTTCCAAGGGCAACTTCTCCCAGTAGTATTAAGCCTATGGGATCAGCTTGAGATGTGTGACAGTAGTTGGCACTCTTGGATACCATGTCTGCAAAATAGATGCCCTTTCCGAACATGTAGCCAGTCTGCAAGCAGGAAAAAAAGAAAAAAAAAGAAAAAAGAAAAAAAAATTGATTGGGACACTAAAACAAAGGCAGCATTGAATCCACCTGGCTGAGCTCTCAGGAGAGCAAAGCTGCAATTCAAGCTCTTGTGGGACACCAGTCAGCAATCCACTCTGGACACACAATGCTGCCTGCATGCTGAGAGATAACACTGAACCCTCCCCATACAGTAATTCTCCTATTTAAGTTGTCTCCGACTGTGGCCACCTCTGGGCATAGGGATGGAGGCAGTCAGAGAAGCTATCTGTTCAACGTACCACAGGAGCTTCAGGGGGAGCTATCCGGAGACCCTGTGAGAGGATACCAGCGAAGTTGGTGGTGCGGGAACCGTGCCACAGCAGCTGGCGATTATGAAGCTGCTTAAACGGCTTGTAACGCTGACTCTCTCCTTCACGCTCAATCCTGAAGATCTGCAATTCAAAAAGGGACAGGAGAAAAAGAACAACCAAGCAAATAAACGGTTACCTTCATGCAACTAATCAGATAGAAAAAAAAAAACATCTAGTCTTGAATACACACTAATCCACTCAGAAAAATTGATCTAGATGGTTTTTAGTATTTGCAGTTTGCTATGTCATGCTAGCAAAAAAGAGGGAGCATTGATCACACAGTACTTGTTATTGATTACTTCTCCACCTTCCCTTCCGCATTTTCATGAGACCATAGTTTTTTGAAAAATCATTCATTGAACTAAGGCTCAATTTTAGATGATGATTACTCCTCCACCTCCTTTTTCAGGCCAATTAAATTAAAATAAAACCACACCCCCCAAGATACCTCAGTACGCTCAGACTCATCTCTGCCTAGACTTCTGCTATTCTATTAAACAGCAACTGGTCTATCAAACCATCCCTTCAACAAAGGAAACTAGATAAGCTACTCAAAAATAAAACTGTGAACAAGTAAGTTGACTTAGAAGAGTCCATCTTCACAAACTTAAACCCCAGCTTTGCCCAGCTTACATCCACAACTTTGAGATCATATGCGTTGTGAGTAGCAGCATGAGTATTTTTCACATATTGTTTAATAATCTTGGCTTCTTCTGAATCTTTGTCAACAACCTGCGAAGATGCAAACAAGAGAAGTTTATTTAGCACACAAACTAGCAGGCTTCTTATAGCATGATGACATCTACCACATGCTTGCAACTCACCAGTTTAAGCCTCCTTTATAATTTCAGTGGAGATTTATTCCCAGCTAGAGAAGATGTACAGGTATACAGACAGCACTTAGACAAAGAATGTCTCAGATAGGAAGGCACCTCTGGAAACTGAGATGATTTCCAACTCCCCTGCTCAAAGCAGGTCAGCTGGAGCAGGTTGCCAAGGGCTGGGTACAGTCAGGCTTTCAACACCCTCAAGAATGGAGCCTTTGCAGCCTCTTTGGGCAACCTCTTCCAGTATTTGACCACCCTCACAGTAAACAAAAAAACCCCAAACAACCCCAAACAAAACACCATCAACAACAAAAGCTTTCTCTTCTGTTTAAACACAATTTCCTGTATTTCAATTTGTGCCCATTGCCTCTTGCCACTGGATACCACTGCAAAGAGTGCCTTCTTCTTCGCTCCCTTCCCCCATCAGATATGCACAGACATTGATATCCCACGTCTTCTTTTCTCCAGGTTAAAAAGCCCCAGCTCTTCCAGCATCTCCTCGTACAAAACACGCTCCAGTCCCTTAACCATCTCAGTGGCCCTTCACTGAACTCATGCCAATACAGCTACCCACTTACAATTTAGGTGATTTGTAGTACTCTAAACTGAATACAAGCTGATGTCCTGTTTCAGTCACTCATTTCCTTTTATTCCCTTTACCTTAATATCAGTTCGAAGTTTTTCATAATTGATGTCAATTGGGTCTTTATCTCCATCTTCATTTCCACCTCTGAGAAGGCTGTAAGCAACCTCGATGTCAAGCAAATTGTCCAACATCTGCACTTTAGCCTGAAGAATTTAAAGAGGTTATTTCACTTGTGCCTTTGACATGTTCAGAACAATCTTAGAATACTCCAAATTATAGAAGTGTATGTGAAGCACTGGCCATATACTGCCATCTAACAACACAGCACATGGCCTTTTTTCAAAAAAAAAAAAAAAATACATACACTTTAATATACTAAAACATACATACACATATATAGACTATAATATGTAACATATATATCTTCTAATACCTTACATATCTAATTATTTGTATACGTATACACAGATATATGTACATAAACAAACAAGCAAAAAGATATTCTGAAGAAAAACAAGCTTAACCTCATGAAAGCATGAAGTTAGTCTTAAAACCTCACAAATTCTCTGTGTTAGATGTCTGATAGCAGACCTGTTGCCTGCAAACAACATACTGTTTTTAGTCAATACCTGAATGTATTCCAGGTTATTCAGGAGAGGTGGTTTCTTCATCCCAAAGTCATGAGGAATTAGAGTATAGAAGCGGTTGGAGAGGTCCAAGATCTGGGATTCTGAACCACTGTCAGAAACTGCCTAGACAAGACAACAAGCACCAAAGAAAGTTACTAAGTACGATTAAGTCTCCATAGCAATAGATACACACAAGGTATTTGAGGACTTACACACAGAATCATAGAATGGCTTGGGGTGGAACGAGACCTTAAAGATCATCTAGTTCCAAACCCCTTCCATGGGCAGGGACACCTTCCACAAGATCAGGTTGCTCAAAACCTCACCCAACCTGGCCTTGAACACTTCCAGTGACGGGGGCAGTCACAACTTCTCTGGGCAACCTGTTCCAGTGTTTCACCACCCTCAATGTAAAACATTTCTTCCTTATATCTAATCTAAATCTGCCCTCTTCCAGTTTAAAGTCATTGCCCCTTTTCCTATCACTACATGCCCTTGTAAAAAGTCCCTCTCCAGCTTTCCTGTACGCCCCCTTTAAGTACTGGAAGACTGTTGTGAGTGTTTTCGTGGCTCTTCCTGTTTCTGTCTCAGGTTGGGCAGAGCATGACAACACCAGGCTATCTCTTTCTCAGACTCCCTGATGCTCCTTAATCAACACCAACAGTAGTTGGCAACAACAATAGTAGCAGCAGCAACACAAATAAGTGTTAATGCTGAAACTCTTATAGAACTAAAAAGGGCAATTCTATTTAATTATTCTGTGTGTAGTAAGTTGTGGTACTTGCACAGAAATACACAGAATATCTGGTTTAAGAAAAATCTAATGGAGATTATGTTTCTGGAAGGCAAAATAAAGGCTTCTAGATATCAAAGGTGTGCACGTCCTTGGCAAGGTTCTGATCTACTCTAACAACTGAAGTAAAACTTCCTGTATCTATGCTTTGTCAGTGAGCTCATGACAAAAAATGGGGTATGCAGGTACACTTTTGCAAGCTGTTCAGGCAATACTATGTAGTGATTCTTGGAATGATACAGATCATGATGTGTAAATATAGTAATGTCATCAAGCCAGACCCTTTCCTGTGTCAGCTTAACCTTTACTCTCATCCTTGAACAGACTCCTCTAGGGTGGAAACACCAGCTCGCTACTAGATCAAGACCCCGGTTTCATTTGCTCAACTGCCATTTATGTCTGGCTCAGCCTGAAGTTTATGCTAAAATAACGTGAAGGATACAAGTACTGCCCAAACTAGTACAACAGTACAACAGTGAAGGGAACTAACTAGTTACCCATGGAAGCCACATCCTCTTCTCCAGCAAG